TGAAGAGAAAATTCACAAAGGACAAATAAATAGCCAATAAAAATATAAATTGTTTGAAATTCAATGTTTATAAAATGCAAAATAAAGCAAATACGTTGCTATCAAAATCACAATTGTTTGCTTTTTGTTTTAACTATACCGTATTAATAGAAACTTTCAGAAGAGAGGTACAAGCGTGCAAACTGGTACACACTGGAGAACAATTTCCCAATACATCAATAGTTGTAAAACACATTCATACAACAGTAACTCCACTTTTATACTTTAAGAGAGTAACCTAAAATGGAACAAAACTGTGTACAATATGCTCATTATTAAGAATATGCAGAATATGAATATGAAGAAATTGAAATAACCCAAATGAGCGATACTAAAGAAACGGTAAATGGATTATGCTGCACCTCAGGGGTCGACAAATTTTTTCTGTAAAGAACAAGACAGTAAATATTTTAGCTTTCAAAGGCTACATGTGGTTTCTGTCACATATACCTTTTATTTCTCACAATTCTTTAAAAATGTAAGAACTACTCTTAGCACCTGAGGGCTGAATTTGGCCCACGGGCCACGGTCTGCTGACCCTGAATCACACTTCAATCAACGGATTCAAACAGCGTACATGAGTAGCCATTAAAACACCAAATTCTTAAATATTTAATAAAAGATGGACATGCTCATGATATTAAAAAACAGAATACAAAGATATATGCAAGATAATTGTTATTAAGAAATATATGAACACACACATTTAAAAAAGATTGGAAGAACCTGCATTAAACTTAATACTGGCTACTGCGGCAGAATCACAGGCGATCTGATTTGATTTTGGATTTTGTTTCCCAACTTTCTCTTATGAGTGGGTATGACTCTGCCTGCTAATCCACTTGACCCTATCGCCTTTTCAGTGTTCCTCCCCACTCCCTACCCAGATTAGATTTTTCATCATTAGACTCATTCTCAGCTCTCCTGCACTCTCAATACTCACTCGGCAAAACCTCGAGGTTGTTAAAATCAAAGCTCTGCCTCTTCCTGACAGCACTCTCGCAGCCGAAGGCAGCTGGAGGGACACCTTACCTGCACCTTACACTCACAACCGGGTCCTCCCGTGCAGCCATCCACAGCCCCTTGCCCTGTCCAGTCTTCTCCTGCTCGCCTGGACAGCATTTTGCCATCCTCCTCCTGAAACCTCCAACACACCCCTCCCAGCCCCACTGCCACTCCCACTGATGACCTGGTTCCCATTTCACTAAGAAGACAGAAGCAACCAGAAGAGAACTTCCACATGCCCACGGCACATACCTGGTTACCTAACCCCACCCATTCCTCACCTCCCTCTAAGAAGCAGGGACTGTCCATCACCGCACCAGCCCATAACCGCTCACAGCAACTCACAACCCTCCTCCAGGAACTTGCCTTTGTCTCTGCATCAATCCGCACCCCCCCAAGATCTTTCCCATCAGTATAAAACATGCTGCTATTTCTTCCATCTTAAAACACAAAACAAAAACTGTTAAAAATGAATAAAATTTAAGTCTTAGTTTTAACAACTAAATCAACAGGTTCAAAATGAAAAAATATTCACTTTCAAGCGAAGGGTATGGAAAACTGATGGAGTCAATTTTTCTATATATGCTCATATTAGGTGCAGCCAAGTCTAGAAAAACAAGTGCATTAGTTATTCAGAGGAAAACTGCAACCTAGCACAGTGTCCGCTGCGCAGTGGAAGGTCCAGCACTTCCGGCCCAGCTCTGCCAGTGCTTACCAAACGGGCTGATGGACAGAGTGGTCACCAAGGCAGAATGGAGTCTATATATGGGCTCAACGCCCAGACCTGTGCTGCCCAAAACTGATCTGGGTCCGCCACTATGTGTGCCCAGTGTGCCAACAGCAGAGCCTCCAGCATGGCCTGCCCCTGGGGGCACAATGAGGGATCATTATGCGGGGTCCCTTCCATCATGGAGGGGCAGCCATCTATCCTCACAGGAAAATTGCATTTCCTGTGTTCAGATTTACCTTCCCTGCCTGAAACATTTCTCCCAGAATCACAGCTCTTGTACCCACAGAATGCCTTTTCCACTGCCATCAACAGAGCAGGCCTGAGACTGCTGTCTGCCTTGGCTGGCATCTGGGAACAGTTTCTAACACGTCCCCTATGCCGTTAAGGCTGGGACACTGAACCCTGCGTACCAGGGTACACTGCGATTTCTGGTGAACACCTGTCTTCTTTCTGGGAGTCTGGATTTGAGCAGTTGCTAAAGCAGAGGGTGCCAACATGACCAGCCCCCAGCAAAAACTCTGGGCACTGAGTGTCTAATGGGCTGGCTGGGCGGAAATACTGACCATTTGTTACTGCATTCTTCATGCTGGACAAAGTAGCTCACTCAGTGTTTCTCTCACAGGAGAGAGGGAGCCTTGGAAGCCTGTGCATAGATTACTCCAGACTTTGCTGTGTCTTTTTCCTTATTGATCCAGCTGTGTATCCTCACTAATTCACTATAATATATTTTAGCCATGAGTACAACTATATGCTGAGTTTCCTGAGTCCTTCTAGAGAATACCCAAGTGTGGGAGTGGGCTTAGGGACCCCCAAAACACATGGTATACTGGTTGAATAGTGTCTCCCCAAAATTCATGTCTACCTGGAACCTGTGAATGTGACCTTATTTGGAAACAGGGTCTTTGCAGACGTAAGTTAAAATGTGATCATAGTAGATTAATCCCATGACTGGTATCCTTACAAGAAAGAAATTCAGACAGAGACCCAGACACACAGGGAAGAACGCCAAGTGAAGACAGAGGCAGAGATGGGAGTGGTGTAGTCACATGCCAAGAAATGCCAGGGATTGTCAGCAACCACCAGAAGCTGGAAGAGGCAAGGAAGGATTCTTCCTAGAGCCTTCAGAGGGAGCGCAGCCCTATCGACGCTCTGATTTTGGACTTTTGGCCTCCAGAACCAAGAGACAATCAACTTCTATTGTTTTAAGCCCCTCGGGGGACGGTCATTTGTTATAGCAGTCCCAAGACACTCAGACACATGGTCATCCACATGATGTGGTCCTGACTGAGGAACTCATTTCATGGCAAAGGAAGTGTGACAACGGCTCCATGTGCATGACATTCACCATCCTGACTGATCGCCCATTGCCAGGACGCAGCTGGCCTGACAGAACAGTGGAATGGCCTCTTGGAGGCTATCAAGGCACCGACTGGAGAAAGCACTTTGCTGTGTGTCTGTAAGAGAGCTGGGGTGCTGTCTTACAAGCTAAACTGGCAGCAGGATTTAGCACCATCTCCCTACCATCTTGGGCTGGGCTGAGGACAAGGTGTCCAGGGGAGAAACACCTCCACCAGATCATGCAGTAGCAGCCTTCTTAAATGAGAAGTCAATATCACACCTGGTCTTTGGGGCTCCTCAAGTCATTCCATCAGCTGAAAGAGGAGGCAGAGGTGGCTGTCCTGAGCTAGCGTGATTGATCCTGAGTACCAAGGGAAGCTGGGTAGACTGTGCAGTGGGGACAGAAAGGGCTGTGTCTGGAACCTAGCAGATTCACTGAGGTCCCTGAGAACTCTAGACAGTGGAGATCCACAGCAACCCCACAAAGGAGGGTCACCAAGGCTCCAACCCACACAGGAAGGTGTAGGACACTCCACCAGGAACACAAGCACAGTGAGGGGAGAAGCTGACAGAGCAGGAGGAGGGCCTGTCTGAGGAGGAGGGACAGATGCACATGAGATCACCTGAAGAGCTGGCAGGGGCAGCTTCCAGGCAGAGGGAAGGGCACAGCAGGGCAAGGATGGAAGAGGAGCCCTGAGCACATCTGAGTGTCACCTGTAGAAGGCCATGTGCTGAGACACTGCAAGAGGCCAGCCAGCCAGTGGGGACGCCTGTCTGGCACTCAGGGGAAAGGTCTGGGCTGTGACCTAAGGTGGGCATCTATGGTATTTGCAGCCATAGGGCTGGGTAGTCACCAACAGACTGAGTAAAAAGGTCACTTCCTTGACAAGAGCCATTTCCAGAGAGCGGTAAGGATGGAGATAGCATTTTTTTTTCTACTCAGAAGATTTGTATGGCTATTATTTTCTATTTAGAAGATACCAAGCAATACTCACATTACCCAGAATGATCTTCTAAAATGTGTCACATCATATCCCTCCTCTGCTCAAACCCAAAACAGCTTCTTGTCTTGTTCAGAAACAAGTCCTAAGTCCTTACCATAGCACCAAAGGCGCACAACCTACCCCCCAACTTCCGCCATGGTCTTCCCTCCATGACCTACACCCCTTCCACCGTGGCCTCCCCCTCCATGACCTATCCCTCTTCCACCAGGGCCTCCCCTCCATGACCTACCCCCCTTCCACCATGGTCTCCCCTCCTCCACTCTCCCTTGCTCCGGCCACACTGGCTTGGCTGCTGGGCACACCCTCCCACTGTACTCCTGCCTCAGAGCCTTTCCACCTGCAGGCCTCTCTGCCCCTGCTCACCCCCAGACACCACAGGGCCCAGAACTCGAGTCAATTTGGGCCTCTTCAGAAGACAGCCCTACCTCCTTCTTTCCCCAACAGTGCCCTCTGTCACTCACACCCCAGCGACTCACTGTTCTGTTACTCAGGGTTACCATTCTTCATGGCCTTTAGCCCCCAACACAGTCCAATTGATTTGGGCACTATCTATCTCCCCCATAAAATGTATCTTTGATGAGAGCAGGAGTTTTATTGGATACCATATCCCCTAAATCTAGAACAGTGCCTGGCACATGGTGAAACAAAATATTTGTTGAATTAATAATGGCAATCAATTAATTCATTGTCAGACCACAGAATGCAAGAGCCTGCTTGGAAGGAAAAAGGAAATACTCCTAAGTATCAGCACTGTTAACACCTAACTTGAAACATAATTACTTCAAAATCCTCTAAGTTCCTACAGCAGGCAAGTGGACCAATCGTACTGCACTCAGAACATCAGCCCCGGCCCCTGCCCGCAGCTCCCAAGGTCACGGACTCACAGCCTTCGCAGGTGGTAAAAAGTCCGGTCATCCTGGTCAAGCCATGGCCCCTTCTCATACTTGAGGTATTCAATATCCTCTACCACCTAGACAGAGAGAATGCCGACTGTAACACAGAGTCCCAGCAAATTTTCTAATGCTGTAACCAGCTTAGAAATTTAAATGAGATAAAACTTTTTAATACATTAAAGCTACAAATATCTGGCAGGAAGAATCATACTATGAAAGTCAAAAAAAAAAAGAAGTCGGACAGATGGCCTTCACTGAAACAGTGGGACTGAGTGATGATCCCTAAATGTGGGTGCCTCACCCAGCACTCGGGGGTCATGGGGTGCCGCTGGTCCTCCATGTGGGCGCCTCGCCCAGCACTCGGGGGTCATGGAGTGCCGCTGGTCCTCCATGTGGGCGCCTCGCCCAGCACTCGGGAGTCACGGGGCGCCGCTGGTCCTCCACGTGGGCGCCTCGCCCAGCACTCGGGGGTCACGGGG